GTGTTTTAATCTGGGGAAGAGCACCAAAAACAGTTCTATTAACCTTGCGAAATTCATGCATTTGAACCCCTCCTTATGCTTCCGATCCAGCAAAGGATTGCTTGGCCGTATTGCTGAGGAGTGCTTAATTTTTTTTAGCAAAAGAATGGAGGTGGCGCTGAACTGGAGAAGTTGCAGGCGGAGCACGCTCGCTGCTCACAGCAGATTCAGCAGAAGCAGCAGCAGCTTGAAACACTGATGAAACAGCTTGAACAACAGGCCGAGGAAATTCTCACCACAAAGTGAGTTTGTGTCTAGTTTGCAAGATAGGATTTGTGCCTAGCATTGGTTTCTGTATTTTTGTTTAAAATTTATTTATTTATTTGTGGTTATCTGGGCAAAGTTGCCCGTAAAAGATTGCGAATTTCTGCAATCCATCCGAACCAGAAGGCAATGCAGAATAGTCTGAATGTGAGTGGTTTATTTGAAAAACTAAAATTTCAGAAACCAAATTCCCCAATCAGTTGATTGCAATTTAAGAGAGGAAGATTTCAGTAGATGTGAGTCAATCTACACAAAGTCTGAACCAGTAAAGGCGGTGTAGGAGGTGAAATCAGACTGATGGATGGAAATTTTGGACGCTCTCAATCAAAAATTATTACTTTGTATAATTTATTTCCATATTTCGTGACTTAATTTAGTTTATTCAACGGAGTCATGCAAATTTTGAATTTAGTGTACGTTGAGATGAATGATGGGGTCTGTTTTTTACGAGGAGGCTTGCAGTGGACGTCTTTGAGTAACTCCATTCGCGGCTAGGCCCAACATTTTACTGCATCCACTCTATCGTAAAGTGTGTCGTGGTTCAACTTAAGTTTTCCGCCTCAATATTCCTTGAACAAAAAATAGGCTTCAAAGTCACTGTTAAATGAGCAATTATGCGTCTTGGTGAGGGATGCTTCAGGTCTACAGTTTATGTCAGAACAAGTTAGCTGTGCCATTGTAAACTGGGATTGTAGAATTGAGGCACTGACAGCTTCACTGTGCGAGAAGGACGCCAATCTGGCGCTGATTCAAACGACCGGACCTCAAAACACCGCCTCCAACCAGGCTGTCCAAAAGCTTACCAACGAAAAGGAGACCATTCAAACACAGCTGCGGCAACTTGTAAGAGCCACTTGTCCGCGCTTCTGCTTTGCTTCTCATCCACAGACTTCAAGACTTGTGGTCATACTAATGAGTGCAATATTTCATGCAGTAAATGAGAGCCATTTTTGAGTTATCGTTGCGTAATGCTTGTGAAAAAGAAAATCACAAAGTGCTTTTTTTTTCTTTTTTACAAATGCTTTATGCATTGTAGACCTTCGCACGTGATGCCCTCGCGGAACAACGAAAAGCACAATAGATTAGCAGTACTTTTACATACACATTCCATCCACTGGGATTCCATTTTGTACTCTGTCCTCTTAAAACATTTTTGAGGAGGAAATAAGTTAAGCCTTGGCTTGGTAGATATAATTTTGGATTATATTTCACTCCCATTCTCGTCCTCTTTAATGTCCAGTCGTATTACGCCCTTTCCTACGTCAGCATCAGGCCTTTCGGCATGCGCTGCCCTTTCTTGTACAAAGCTGACCCTTATTCGTAATTTATTACGAATAACACTTTTGATCCGTCAGGCATTCGAAGGCATTTTCATTACTTTAAGGCATTTATTCATGAATGTTGTTCTCCCAAAGTTGTTGTTATGTGCAATAATGATCCACTGTCGAATAATCCCTGTTTTCTCCCTGTCCTTGTGAAGAAGGAAATTAATTGTGGACAATGATATGAGAGATCCACTTTTCCCAGTCAATTAGTTCACAAATTTCCGTCAAAATCTTGTTCTTTCCAAAGCCTTGAATCTCATCTGCGGTAACACGGCAACCGTGAGGATCTAAGGTGGAAAAGATTGCACGAAATGCAAAACTCTGTTTGCAATTATTTCTGATTAAAAGTGCCTTCAGACTTGTAGTGCATTTTCATTGTGTGCACTGTTAAGTGCTGTCGTTATGTGATAGACCAAGAATTTTGGGAACATAGCGAATGCTTTGGTAGTATTTTTTTTAAATAGCTTGTTGATTTGTGTAATAATTTCGTCTTCACAAGTTTTGCCTAGTTTTAGTCCAAATGACGTGGAGAAAGGGTTTTTATTGCCTTCATAAGTAAGTGAGAGTAATCTGACAAAGCTGACTCATGACCACGACGTTTAAGAGCTCTTTCAGTCTAGTCGGACATCGTAGATTTCAGCAGTCGTACCTGTGGCAGTAGCTCCACACTGTGAATCAATACTTCCACCATGAACGAAGTCTTTAAACATTTGCTTCAGTTTTTGTTTAAAGTTCCAAAAACGCTTTTTTCGGGGATTGTCTTTAGAGTCCGAGCCCTGCGATTCAATTCTTTTGCCTGTCAAGATCATCATGTCGAGAGCATGAAAAGCAAATCGTTTAGCAGACGGTGTGAACTTTTCCGTGGGTCGTGGGCCAGGGGCATAGGGCACAACAAGGTCGGGCGGTTCATCGAGGAGGATCTTGTAAAAGTTGCTCTTTGAGGTATTAAACTTGGACAAAATCCACGCTTGAGGACAGGAAAAACGAAGAATACTTAGCAATTCCAGATGAAACTGTTGCCTGGTTCGACGATTAACCCCGGCATTCTTACGCGAGAGGTCTTCTCTCCATGCAACACCCATTAGATGTTTTAAGCTCTGTAGGTTGTGTGATGATGGTTGTTTGAAGCGGTAAAGCATTTCTGCGAACTGTTCTATTTGTTCGTCATCTGCCTGACTCATCCAAGAGTCGTCTGTCCCTGGCCATCCCTCCAATTCGTTCGACATGGATGAGAAAACCAGACGTATTGGCTTTCCATCTGAATGAACAAACTGTACATCACTATTCTGGTAATGTTATGGAATAAATAGTTGAAGTGGTGGCCCCCCATTACTACTTAATTTATTTATTACTGAAATTCACATAATGCATTCCACTACAGGGCAGAAGGCAAACCCATAAACTTGAGTTTAATTTGAAAATTCTTCTAAATTAAATCAACCGGTCATTTGTATTTTACTCTACAGAAGTGGAAGAATTCTTTCTAAACCGTATTATTATTGCTTTGGTGAAGTGGAAAATTGTTGTTGATCGACTTGCTTCCGTGGACTGCTTAATAAATGTGAACAAAAAGAGAAAAAAAGGTGCCCACTAATTGTAGGATGTTTATCAGACCTGTTAGAAAAAAAATGTGGTGTGTTTTCTTCATTCCTAGCACAAACAGTGGGTTCTCTATCAAACACATTCAATTTGTGATAACAAAAACTACCTGCAAATCTCAATAAACAAGTATTTACGGTCTTATAAGAAAGTCAGCATAGTTGGTGCCGCAGTTGAGGGAAGAAAGCGGTCATGCATAAATTACAATACAAATGCACTTCAAAATTTGCGTAACACCATATATGGTACCAAGGTTGAAGATTCGAAAAATCTCCTCTGGTTTCCACAATTTTGGTGGTGGAATTTCGCCTGATCCGGCTTCAGCAGTAATCCAACTTAGCCCTCCACTCTTGTTTTTGCTTCCCACTATTACACCAATCATATTTCTATCATCGAAAATATCTGAAAGTAAGAAGTTAAAAACTGCCATTGGGAGATTCATCAACCTTTTTCTCATTTCATCCAGTGGACAAGATTTGGAAATAGTTCCCGGTGTTTCAGTGATGCAGTGGGCTCCAATATGGTGACTGACGATATTAGTGAAGGCTGTCTCTACAATGCTTCTGCTTTTGTCGCCATCATGATTGCTCTTCCAATGAACTGCTCCGCTGGAAAGCCACACCTGATGGAACAGTTCTTCCTTCCTCCCTTTCATATAAAGCAATGCCAATGTGCTTGTGGCTCCAGAACCAGATCCAAGTACTGTTATGCGTTTGGGATCTCCACCAAATTG